GTGCATGAGTTTGAACTTCTGGCTTTGCAGTTAGCAACCCAGCGTGTAATCCACATGGCTCCTTCAACTGACTTTACAGCACTTACTAACAATCCTACTTAAAAGTTTTTAAGTGATGTGTGTGATTCCGTTTCCAAGTATCTATTTTTTTCCTTTGTTCGTGATTTCTAAATTAATAGCATTACGGTCAGCAGAGGTTTTGCGTGATTTCCAAGTCGTTTAACCTACGGAGGCTTCCCCTGTGGACTACACGGCCTTCTCTGAACTAATGGCCCGCCCATGGGGAAGGGGGGCGGGGATGTGTATGTGCTGCTGGGTGGTTGGTTCTACATGGCTGGGAGGTTGAGTTGGTTGATTGTGTTACTTAGCTCTCCTGTATCTTTGTTTAGTTTCTTTCTAGTTGTGCTTGCCATCCTCAAATGTGGTGTGGTAAGTCTTCCATCACTGTGAAACTGTCCATTTCTCTTTCAATTGTTGGGAGGTTTTGATTTTGTTGTGGGCATTGGTGCTCTGTCGCTGGGAATACAAATTTTTATTATGGTACGTTCGCTTGGTTGACTAATCCTACGTTAAGGACTATAACTGGGCGCAAAGATGAATGAAAGAATAATTCTTGTTTTCACAGGAATTTTATCATTGATTTAGAGACTCTCTACCAATAAAAGATAAAGGCAGGAAAATCTGATTTTTAGAAGTAGTTCAAAGAAAAGTCAGAAGTGTCGGATCTGAGTGTACTCAAGGGAAGTTGCTGGTAAAGTTCTGCCCAAGGGGGGGTTGAGCATGTGATCACGCTTCTGATGAGTGAATGAGTGAACCAAGCCAGGAGGGAAGACAAACTGAGCAACATGCCATCCAAACTAGACAAAACAGTGCAGGGAAAAAGACAAACACTTAGTTGTCATCCAAAACAGGAGTCAACTGATACCTCAGAGAAGTTAGGAAACCTTTGATGGAGTGAATCAGACACTTGGCCTTGCTTCTGCGTCCCATGGACTGACGCTTGGCTTCAATCGAATCAAATGAAACATTGGGATGAGGTTGCTCCCTTCTCCTATCTTACACAAGACTAAATTCATACAGCAAATAAAACCATGTTGAGGATCACCTGAAACAATACTTCAATGTCACTTCTATTCTTGCTTATAATTTTAAAAATATTTAAAATTAATTTATTAAAATGTTCTCATTTTTATAAGATAGCTGATAATAAGAGCCAAAATTTCACTAGGAACAGCCAACTCTAATATTTTTGAATTTTATTTAATGTGATATTTGCTTGGAAATTAATTATAAAATTAACATTTGTTTTAGGCCTTAGGTCTATAATACTGTGTTTATCCTTCTGGCTGATTTAAGATCAGTGCTCTGAAATACTATAAAGAAGAATGTTTAATATTTTTTCTAGCACTTATATACCTGTAATATAACCTATCAAGTAGATTATCAATATTTCTTTTATCATTTCATTTACATTTAGCTTCATGCTGTGATACTATGGATACATGCAAGATTTTGAAATTGTGTTAATTATATTTATTTAAATAGCTCAGGTTTTACAGATCTTAGCATACTGATTTTTCATCCAAGTATAGTCATTCAGTATATTTTCTAAAAGCATGGGCCTTATGATTACATACACAATTAGA